AGATATACATTCTCCATTGCCTTGAGCTTTCATATCCATAACACACCCACATCTTTGTCCACTCGCTTTGCTCGAGTCTGGGGGTGGAATTCCATCAGTAGTCTACATCGGTGAAATATCAGTAGCAATAACTATTGGATGGATATACTATATTTACAGCTCGTTGTTATATAGAGTTTGATTTGATAATCGGTTTTCCTATTTATTACACCGTATATTACCGGAGACCGGGGACTGCTTCTTTCATCCCCGTGACTCATTTCAGTTATATCAAAATAAACATTGGGTCACTATTTGATCGATTTCGATATGCTGGACGCATGCGTCACGTTCAAGAAAAGGAGGTTGATTCGTGATGTGACATATTGAAAATGATTTTTATTTGTTAATTTACAGTCAATTGATATAAACATGTCCATGAAACGAAATGGTTTGTTCAGTATAAGATCAAACATTTAAGAAATTCAGATTTGATAATAAGCACATACAATAATTTAGATTAGAACATATCACAAACTGACCAAATGTGAACGAACAAGTCAAGAATGCTTCCTCTACACAAAACATCCTATATAACAGATTATATTCAAGTCGATTTTCTTGTCTTATTTATGGTATTTCCGTAAATTTGCCTTGGCCAGCACATGCAGTCAAGTTCGTTTCCATGTTGTGTGATTCCTTTGAGATTATCACGTTTCTTCCTCTTTTCCGTTTTATGAATCTTTTTATGCTTTACACACACAAAAAACGTCCAAGTGTGATATCTGCACGTGCACGGCGCATGCCCGTGGCCCATCATGGTCGGTCGCATGCTGTGCAGCAGATAACATTAAAAATGAGCTTTCTTTTTTTTTTTTTTACAGTTTTTATACCCTCGACCATCGGCCTGTGGAAACTGTTAGAAACTCCAGTAGCAAATATCAGTAGTCTACAATTTTGTTATAAACGAAGGAAACGAAAACGAGGTGTTATATAAAAAAATGGATAAATAAATAAATACATTGATAAATAAATAAATATAGCCTATATAAATGTCAAATAAATAAAGTTGTCATCAATACATGCACGTCATAAATTAACAAGCTAAATATTTACCCAATTATCCACCTTCAAATTGTTTGGTTTCAGTATTAGTTTGGCAACAAAACTGGGGAATAGGGCTGTTGTTTTGCTGTTGCGTTTTTTGCTTGGAGACATTCACATCCTTGTCCAGCTGTATTGGGCTGGATGTGTTAAAAAACAATGAAAAAATTATATAAGACGACGAAGTAAAAATAAAAACGCGTAAAACCTGGCCCTTGGCTTGGTGGTGGTTACTACTAAGTGAAACTCATGGATACTGTGTGCTCCAGCGCTTTGCGCCGCAGGGAGGCGATGCTCGTCCCTCTCCAGACGTCATTTTCTGGGGAGCTACACAGCTGGGGCGAGCCCGTCACGTTGGTGGGACCGGACAGGGAGGCCGAGACCATCCCAGGGAACGGGTTCTGGTAGAGGTGAGACTGGAGCCCGGATCCGTTCGACGACATGTTGGAAAGCCCCATGGAGTTGGGCGGTGGACCGGACAGGCTACACTGGGACAGGGACTGCGCCATGGCATGCTGGTGCTGGCGACCCAGGGCTGGAGGGAGCTGCAGCTGAGAGACGCCTGGCATCCCTGCCGTAGCCCATCGTGTGTCGTTGGCGTGGAAGGAGCATAGGCTGTCGCCCATGGCCGCGGCGGCGGCAGCGGCAGAGTTGAACTGGCTGTGCAGGCCGTGGTGGGTGGGCAGCAGCGTCCCCGGATTGCGAAAAACATTGGTGGTCTTCTTGCGCTTCTTCCACTTGGCGCGTCGGTTCTGGAACCAAACCTGGAGTGGAGTGGAGTGGAGTGGAGTGGAGTGGAGTGAGTGGAGTGAGTAAAAGAGATAGAGAGAGAGAGAGAGAGAGAGAGAGAGAGAGAGAGAGAGAGAGAAGAGAGATCGAGAAAGAGAGAGAGAAGAGAGAGATAGAGAGATAGAGAGAAGTAGACTCTCTCTCTCTGCTACTCTCTCTCTCTCTCTCTCTCTCGATCGAGATGATCCATTGGTTTATGCATCTGGCTAAAGTGTCATCAATTTCAGACACAATGAGTAGGCCTACTGTACATTTCTGTATATGCTCACTTTTACTCACGGGAAAGCGTTTTAGGTTCATAAGCAGGTAGCACATAACTCAGATATTGCCATTACAAATCTTCTTTCTATCATGGGATACCCTGAATAACACTACACATGATATAACTGATGAAATGACATGCCATAAACGAGGGTTTTGATAGCTTCTATGTCATTACGCCAAATCAATTTCAGTAAATCGTCTGTGGCATGCCTGCATTAGTGCGTAACCAAAACACCTCTGGATATCATACAATAAAAATGGCTAAGTCAGAAAACACAAAGTAATTTCCATGTAGCCTAAACCTATACGCCTATGGGGGAGACGGTCATGTCAGCAGAGAATATGTTATTGCAACTATTTTGTTATGAATTTAAAATATCCGAAATCTGTTTATTATTTAAATCAGTAGTAGCTATATTTATTTGATATATCAACACATGTTCTGCTTTAACCAATTTGCTGCATAACATGGATATAAACTGACTATTAGCCTACACAAAACAACAATAATATCAGTATTTTGGAAATAAAGGCGTTATTGTGACCCAGGCCGCAGTTAGAAATGGATCACATGTGTTTATTCCGCGGGTCCTTGAGAGAGACTTTCTAGGCCTATATAGATCTCATATATGACTATAGTAACCCGGATAGCGGCGATGATTAATGTGAAGATTTGGTTGAGAAACTGGGCCGTTGTATTAAGAGGCCAATCTCAGTCTCTCCCCCAGAGCAGCCAGCCGTGAAATCCAGCCTCAAATGCATTACACTTCAAATAAAAAAAAATGCTATTTCTCATTCCGTTTAAAAGACAGAGTACACTTTCAGCGCGTCCGCCATTAAGACGTGGAACTCTGACAGGCCCATTCAACAAGAGAACAGCGCAAGCTGCATGCGCCTTCTCATTCGAAACATCCCAGATCCATTTTTACCGGTTGGTTTAGAAGTATTATTATCATTGGTGATGGGCTTTATAAAGGGATCATCATTTCGCTAATTCTTACTTTATGTAAATAAAATATTAAAACCGAATTGATCCGTGCAATAATTATGATTACCACGGTTATTGTTTTACATGTGAACGACTCGTCTACATTTTTCATTGCTGGTTAATAAGCCCTCATTGCAATAAATAATTCTTAAATTGGTTGATAATAAAGGCTTTGGTTTTATTGCACTATCACCCTGAGAATGGCTACGAGAACGACAATGCATCAGACAAGGACCAAAGCCAACTGCAATGTCGCGCTGTTCTTGAATTAATCTTGTGCGCTATTTTGGCAATTATGGAATGTAACGGGAAACAAAATAAAGTAATTAAATGAGTTTAATTGTGAGGGTATAATAAAGCAATATCATTTCATTTTCATCTCGCATGAGGACGCATGAATATGCCCACTCCAATAGGAAAATGACACGAAACGTTATTAGATTTTAAGAACCAACGTCATTCCCAAATAAAGTGCCTCTTGTTTTTATCTGGCCCATTCAGTTTTAAGTGGCTTATTCCATAGGTAGTAGGCCTCCATATTTTTTTTGTTTACCATGAGTAATATCTTAAATTCAGTCAAATCTTGTCATGTAATATTTATTTTTGATACAATTAGTAGCCTTATATGAAAAAATATAGCCTACATACAATTCTTAATTTCGTGAATTGTTTTTCATATATTTTCTTGAATTATAGGCATATACCTAGGCCTACATTGGATGTCCTTACTTTTTCCACAAGTAGCCCACAATCTGTGATTGCCAGATATTATGAATAGGCCTACGTACGCTCATGAAATGTAAATTATATCCAAGTCAATTTATTAATGCAACTTGATAATAGGCTAGTTAAAAGCTGTTTTAATTTCTATTTTATTTTCCCTCCGTTTGTTTCTGGAAAATGTTATCTCTTAAAATCGTGGTTTTCAAATTTCTGTCTTGAATAACATCTTTTCGGGACACATTTATTGTATGAATCAAACAAATGCATCTGGTTTCACGCGAATCGACCTGGCGCGTTCGTTTCAGCACCATGGACAGCACGCACGCCCAAAGCAGTTTTGTCAGGGATTTTACCTTCTAGCCTATTTTGCATTTTCTAATACTTTGAACAACAGAAACAAAACCCTCACAAAATACAATCGGGGATCAGGTGTATGCTATTATTATTTTTGATACAAGGAAATAAAAGATGGTTGCCTCGATGAAGATAAAAAAAACACAAGGCTACTTCCTCTTCCGCTATCGTTTTGGTTCGATGGGAATAATAGGGCACAATATTTTAGGTTATTATACATTTCTATCGAGCTATTTCTCACCCAGTATCAAGGTATATATTATTGTACTTCCTTCTATAGGCTCCACTTTATATTCATTAGATGCAGGCTACTTTTACTATTATATTAGCACTTCTGTGAGAACAGCTGTGAGTTGGATATTTTCCTCATAATTTAAACTATAATGTAGGTTTACTTTGTAATTATCCATTATGCCTAGCTACAAATAGCAAATATTATTATTGTGTCGGCCCTACTTGAAGTGAAATAATAATAGCCATTGACTTAATATTTAGGCCTACATTATTTTGTTTGGTTAAAAGGGCTAATACATAAGCATACACATTTCATCACATATTTTTACGCAGTATTATTACACTACTCTTACAGTTTTATTATTGTTGCTTCTAAATAATTTTCTATGAGACACACATTTCCCAACCCGTATCACAAACAAACCTGCACGCGAGATTCCGTTACCTGAACGCGAGATTCCGTTAGGCCGATCCGTAGGGCCAGTTCCTCCCTCATGAAGATGTCTGGGTAGTGCGTTTTGGCGAAGCTGCGCTCCAGTTCGTTAAGTTGGGCCGGGGTGAACCGGGTCCGGTGGCGCTTCTGTTTCTGACTCTGACTCTGACTTCCTCCGGATTGGCTGGAGTTATTCTGCTGCTGCTTGTCCTGTTGCTCTTTACTGTTGACCTGCATGCCGGAAGGGTTGGATCCTCCATTGTTGATATCGTCTCCAGGGAGCATGGTAGCCCCCTCCACGGTGTCTGGGCCCGGGGCTAGCTCGCCGGAGTGTCCGGGGTCAGGTCCCACTCCACCGCCTAGTCTGCACTTTAGAGCCTCCCTGTGACCCAGCAGCTCTGCTGCGGCATCCTTCATCCCTGGATAGATACAACACCCGGTCAGAATTTAAAGGCAATGTTACATTTATTTTGTATAATATAATAGCCTACCCTGTGTTAAAGGAACAAATTATAATTGACAAGATATTTATTGAAAATACATTCTTCAGTTAGGCTATTGAATGTGACACTTTTACGAAGCTGTCAAAGTCTGGCAAGAGAGGAACATAGGCTATAGTTTGCCATGCATGCAGAGAGCTGGTTGAACATTTTGTTATTTTACAAAATGATATTTTCTAAAAACATGCTGAAAACATCGAAGTGGACATTATATTATGGATAAAACCAGAGACTAAATGTAATTCAAACAAGCACACAACTAGCATACACCGTTTAATCTACTCCTTAATTCCATTCGATCAAGTCAATAATTTAGAAAACGGTTAAATCAAATTACCCAGTAATATAATAATAATAATAATAATTACTTTTCCAATGAATTAGCTCACTTAAAGGACATTAAGATAAAATAAGAAACAAATTGTCAATTCTCTCTGCTTGATTTAGATTAGAAGTGCCTCCAGCTTACAGTAGAGTTGAAGACCGGAGTTTGGCGATGATAACTCACCGAGGCGAGCATCCAGGAGGTCGGCGTGCGATAGCATTGCGCACCGCTCCAGGGCGAAATGCTATTCCAAAAAAATCTCTATGACTTTAACCTATTTAAAAAATATATATAGCCTAAATGAAAGCAAATTCGGTTTGTGGTTAAAAAAGAAGGTTCCTTGCATTATAATGTCCTTTAGAGAAACGGGGAGGCGCCTAACAACCGAATGAACCCATGAGCTTCTTCAAAGGAAAGCCAATCAGATTTGAAGCTCGAGATATGTCAGCCACCTCGAGACCATGAACAGCCAGCCACGCCAATTCCCCAATCCAGCCACATTCACAAGTTCATTTCTCCTCATTTCTGTAATTGGCTTTGATTTCAACTCCAAATTATATCCAATAAAATCACCTGATTTAATATTGAGAAACTGGATCAGTGCACTATTTGTTTAATTGTGCGTGCTGTTTCTGCCTTCCTCTATAGTGGATGGGCCAGGTTTGAACAACGACCGATTTACCCACGTTAACAGCCTCTGTGGCTACATAAACATCGTTTCTGGCGTGTGAATGACACAACATATTCCCTACACAAACAACTGCCTCAAATGAGATTAAGCATACATAGCCCGAGTATGAAAGCTCTGAGTGTGCATTTTACACTACATCTTATAACCAAATTAAGGTCAAGTTTATGTCATGTGAGTCTGTTGAAGTGGGTCAATGGTTTGTGTTTTAATAGCGCCGTCCTTTCTCTGTTTTTATTTCACTGTAAATAGCCGTGGATCGTTTTTAGTTTCACCAGACATTTTCACTTCTAATATCCAACGTGTCCTAGTCTGTCCTGCCTATTGGAGATGAAGTGAACCTCTGCTAATGCCTCTGATTCCTCAGTCAGCCAACAAAGTTTAGAATAGCGATATATTTCTAACCAGAGTAATTTTCCACATCATTAGGCTTTTATGTAATTAGTGCCAAATCTATAAGCTTTTTATTACGATTATTAGAGTAAAATCAGTATAAATTAGAGGTGATTTAGTACTGTTGAGGCTCGACTGTCACGCAGGGAGGGACTTATTGTAAATGATATGTGAGCAAATTAAGTACATAATTCGGCGGAAAGTGGAAACTGAGTTGTGGCTGAACATGATTTGGGAATGTTTCCTTTTGATAGAGGAGACAGCAGATCTCCGCTGAAGGCGAGGGTCGCAAACTGTCGCACTAGAACAGACACACACGAACACATAATCATGTTATAAACACTTTGCAGTTGGCCAATTACTTTTCACGGTATTGATTTTTAATCTGCCCAAATTAAGCGTATTCATTTCAGTCAGACAAAGCAGGTATAAAAAGGTCTCTAATGCAGTCTGTAAATAAACCGCCATTATACCAATTAGCACTAGTTTCTTGTCACACACCAAGTTTTCAAAATATAAAAGGGACACAAAAGACTCCAACAGGCTCCACACAGATGTTGGAACGTTTTGTGAAAGCTAGTTCATTTGTTCTATAGTGAATGGTGCCTTTTTGGAAGTAACACAAAGGAAGCGTCCGAGCGTAAACTTGGGGCACTTTGGGGTCCTCTCCCAGCCCATTCCGGGTTGAATTAGCTCGGCTATCTTTTATCTAGTGGCAATCTGGTGTCACGACCGACCAGGGAGCGCCAGACAATCTCGGACACACCGGGGTCACCGGAAATCCCTTATGCGCCATGCAACCGCATGGTAACTATCTACCGCGCGTCCTGAAAATTAGAAAAACGAGAAGAGTGTGGATTCAATTTGGAAACAATTGTCTGTTCGTCTTCGTTTTCATATCCGAAATATCACAGAATGTGGATTAAAGCGCCAGAGCAGAGAATGTGTGCGTAATTCAAGATGTCCGGGTTTGTGTTGTTCTTTCCCTATTTTTATTCGAAGAGCATACTTATTTTATTTGCCATATGCCTATCCAGCATCTATTATCGTTATAATATTATATAATATGTTACCCGTTTATCTGTGTCAGTTTAGGCTGTCTTGGATTGTGCGCTGAAACCATAACGATAATTTAAAATCATTACTTCTGTTTGGTCTTCGCCACTCGGTCAGAACTGCACCATTGCGTGTGATTGATTGCGCGCTTATTTTTACGACTTTTCAATAGCTCACGGCTTTTATGGCTGTACACAAAAGTGAATGACTCATTTCCGCGCGCCATCTCATATTTAACCTGGGAAAACGCCAAGAGGCAGACGCATTGGCATGATGCTCCAAGAATGCATAAAACTGCACTTATACTTATGTGTCTTTGTGTAGAAAGTGACCCGATATTAAATCCCTTTCTACAGTGCTGCAAAGGGCCAACGTTGGACTTTTCATGGCGGATGAAGTTATTTTCCCCTAATAAATAGGTTTCAGATTGTTGACCAGAGACAAAGAAAGACAACAGCTAGGCTGAAAACACATTGGCTCCCTCTAATACAATTTATTCACCTAGTTTACCTCGTACAATACCTATAGAATCAATCTCGGTTAGCCAATACCTGCCCCAGAACTAAGCACAGGGATTTCAAGCTTTATTTGCCAAACGTGGAGTAAAACAAAGCATTTTATCAAATTCATTTGTGGGAAGAAATGTAACCGTTTCCTGGTGCAACAAAAGATCCCATTTTCAGTATGTTTACACCCGTGGAATGTTGCAAGTAGCCTACACTGTATCAAAATAGGCCTAACCCTTTCTGAATATAATAATAGTAATAGGCTAATAATAATAATAATAATAACAATAATAATAACAATAATAATAGCATAATAATAATAATAATAACGGACCAAAACGTCCAAAATTAATAATTCCTCTCCAATAGGCCTATATATGCTATTGTTTATTCTCAGTATGTTAGTCAATTGTATAGATTTTTTTTCCGAGTTAATCATACAGAAACATCTTTGTTTCAAAACATTGAAATCATAAAATCGAAAGCACGTGCTAATACACAAGAAAACAAGGCTGTAATTACAATACAAATAATAATGATTATTGTTGTTATTAATATTATCACTTTGTTTATTTTTTCGTATTAGGAACACTTTTAGGCCTATTTCCCCAACGAAATGGTCAACTATAATTTAACACAAAATGTGTGTGTGTGTGTGTGTGTGTGTGTGTCATATGAAGGTCCTCGTTTCACTGAATTGAAAAGGCTGTAATTACGGTACACAACAAGGAGCAAAGTAGAGTGGCTTCCCTCCTTGGCTGAGATCCCCATAACAACATCAATCTTATCCAGCATAGAAATAAAAATAGACAAACAAACAAATTCGCCACCTGCAAGTTAATGCGGCGCATCTGAGTGGAAAGTAGACATTTTCACGCGCTCTGGAGATGAGGAGTGACTTTTAATAAAACCACAAGGAAAACAAATGTAATTCTATACGCAGTATTGGAGCTGTAGATTTCCAGTGCACCTCTCTCTTTTCACCTTTTCACAGGGGGCCTTGGGCATTCGCTCGCGCATCGGGAGTTTCATGCTAGAGACACCGCATGCTGCCTTTTGCCTGTCATCACCGCCTGCCCTTCACTCTCCCGCGTGCATTATCGTCTCGGGCCAAGGTGCAGAGAGATAACACGGAGGATGATTTTTGTTGACTCTTTTTCTTCTCCTCCTCCTCCTCCTCTTCTTCTTCCAGGTCTGCGGGCGAATCTAAGTCATCAGGCGTCTGTATTCACTCAATTAGATAATTCTAAAGAGAAAATCGATCTTCCATCTGCAGAAATGCCAGTTTAACAAATTATATTCTTGTTTCGTGCAGGTGATTTGGTGACAGTCGGGGGATTAGAAGTAATAAGTTGTTGTGTTTGAGCTCTGGGGAGGAGAGAGGAGCGAGGAAATAGAGAGGCGCGGTGCGCGCCAGGGCTACTACATCCATCAGGTGCGTCGCCTTGCCGCATCCTTCGGCAGGTTGACGTTTATTGTTATGAGTCTTGTCCTGGAGGCAGAACTGAGTGATTTCCCCTTAGATTCATGAAAACAGAAATTAGCTTTTTGGTCTTAATTTAAGGTTACACTTTTAGAAAAAAAGGTTCTGGATAGAACCAAAAAGGGTTATATTGCCTGCTTCAGTTATGGTACCCCTAAAGGTTCTATTTAGAACCAGGGGTTCTTCTTCACTGAACTAAAATTGATTCCATATGGGGTTCTATATGGAACCAATTTCGGTTCTATATAGAACCTTAAGGGGTGCCATATATGAAGAAATCATAGAACCCTTTTTGGTTCTTTCCAGAACCTTTTTTTTTTACGAGTGTAGGGTTAGGCATATAGGGTTAGCAGGTTAGGGTAAAGGTTAGGGTTAGGTTTAACATTTTATGACTTTGTGGCTCTGCCAGGTAATGGCAACTCTGTAAGCTGCCTCCAGAACAAGATTTATGACAGAAAACGCTAACAAATCCTTCGGCCACAAATCCAGGTATTGTCTGCGGCCCGCCACAGCATCTCATGGTTCAATTAGCGCCGCTGCCCTATGCGAGGACTCGATTAGACCGTGAGTCATCCGAAAGAAATATAATTATGGTTCCAAATAAAATAATCAGCATTGAAGAGCGATTTCCTTAACGAGATGGATAGGCTGGATGTCACGGAGAGGCGAGCGTCTCATTAGGGCGTTAATGAGACTTCGGGGTGATCCCGATAATTATCGAAATCTGTAAAATAAGGATCAAGCCAACCCTTAACGTCTGCCCAGTCAGGTTTTTTGTCTTGTATTATTAGACTGGCATTCATGTGTCTTGGATGCCTTAACCTCGAAAGTGTCTGAACTTATTTGGAAATAAATAATAGGCCATGAGATTTGTTTGAACATTTAATCGAATCATATTATTCATATCCAATTATATTAACAGGCTTAACTTGAGCACATCCTAATAAATGTTTGTCGGCTATAAAAACATATATATCATATATTGGCCTACATCGAACAACATCTTCAAGCATAGTTTAGTTTACCTTTAGGATAATAGTATTTATATAATCCATAGGCGTTTCCTCTATTTGGTTGGTCTATGGATAGACCTACATATTGTGGTCCTTTAAAAATAAACTATTTGGACAATTCCATTGTGGAACATAAAAACTATATATCTTAACCCAAATAATATCTTGAAGTATATATTTAATAAATGTCTACACTAGTGTGACTTGATGCCCAACAACTACGCCTACTGGTCATTCGGTAAACTGTCTATGCCTATATGAGAAACACTCTTTTCACGCCACTTAGAGACAGCTACGACCGGAAGTGATTTTTTTCGTAGCAGGTTAGAACTTACACTGCAGGTTAAGATAATTAAAGTAGCAGGTTATGAGAATTAGATTAAGGTTAAGAAAATCACCTCTGGTCGTAGCTGTATTGGAGTGAATGAAAAGAGTGTGTCCAAGTGTACCCCATGCTTATACAGTGGATGTGACAGACTATGTCCAGTTGGTGATGGCAGTGCTGATGATGTCACTAGGCTGCATGGATGTTATTAACCAGCAGAGGTTGGTGTCCTGATTCTAACCTCTAAGAACAGGCATCATGCCAAAACGGTCCATGCTATCCAGAATCCTTGGGACATCCTCAACCCATTGAAGATGAAATTGAACATGGTTTAGGGTTAAAGTTACATAAGGTTTAAGGTAAGGGTTTAGGGTAGGGACATCCCAAGGATCCCTGATAGCACTAAGCATGCCAAAACACTGCTCATATTTCTCTCTCTATCCAACCCCATGACACAGACAATGGGATGGATGTTATATGAGAATGGTGTAGCTAGCTCCCATCACTTGTTAGGTTCTTTGGTCCATCAGTTATGTTGACTGTTGTTGTCATCTTGATTCTTATGAGCAAATAAAAATACACTAAATATTGTATCAGTTATCATCAAGAACAATCTGTACTCAAATCAACACATTTTGAGGAACACTTCAAATCACTTGATGCAAGACGCTTAAGTCCTATAGCTTTAATGAGATAAACAATACAATTAGGCTTCATTTGCAGCCAAGCAAACCCCCATGGTAGGAAAAGAAAGAAGTGTTTATTTGATGCTTGTGTGAGATTGTGCACTCCGGAGAAGGATGTCAAGATCAGACGACACGTTGTTCTCAAATGTAGAAATAAAATAAAAAAAGAGTGAGAAAAAGAGTGCTGAATGATTCTGTTTGTCTATGATTCCAAACAAGCCCAGACGAATGGAATGGACATTTAAGTAGTGCATTACAGAGTGAGAACATCATCCTTCAAGCTTCACTGAATCCAATACGGTCCTGGCCTCTTTGTACTCCTCTGCTTCAGCCAAGTCTTCTTCCGTTTCCTGAAAAACACAGCACATACAGGATATCAATACTAACCCCATCACACATGCACACAACTTTAAATTACTAACCCATCAAATAGCATAACACCAAATCTAACTTACAGTCTACAATCAACCCATAGTTAACCTAGAAAAGTCCACGGTCCATTCACATGGCTATTCACCAAATGATCATACAAAACCTGTTTTCCTAAGACGTCCCTTACATAGTCCATTTAAATAAAATTTACATTTACATTAACAATCTGCATACATTGATTCCACAGTGCAACGTTTCTAGTCAGTGCAGAAGAGTGTGTATGAGAGTGGGTCACATCTGTGCTAATCGAGTGCTGCTGGGTTCCTATGGTGGCCACCGCAGTGACAGAACTGCTAATGAACTGTAATGAGTGTGTGTGTGTGTGGGGGGGGGGGGGGGGGGGGGGGGGGGGGGTGTTGAGGTGGGTGAGAGGGGTTTTTGGTGTGAGGTGGAGAGGGACAAGTCCCTGTCACGTCTCATACCCTCCCACAGAGGAGTCATCTGTGATTTCCTCTCTCCTCCTCTCCCGTCCACCTCTTTCTGCACGTGTGTCTCAGTGAGGCCACGTCTGCCTGACTCCTGCTCTCTGCTAATTCTGAGGACCCTGAGACATGCATGTGTGTGGAAGAAGGGTGTGTGTTCCTTTCTCTGGCTTCTTATATCTGTCAGGATAGACAATATAGACAGTCACACACACCTGCATGATGAGAGTGTCACTGAAAGTCACACTCCAACATGGAAGCCCAAAATACTAACATCTGGATAAACCTGCAGCAACCAAGACAAAGGAGGATGGGCTCCACCTCTAGAGTCTGGTTCCTCTTGATGTGTCTTCCTTCCTAACAGACTCCATCTTGGTCACTGTTGCACTAGGATTGCTTCCATGAGATTTTTTTTTTAACCCCCGGAAGAAAACAGAGCTGTTCTTACTAGTATCTGGGACAGGTCTGCGTGTGCTATGGTCAGACGCCTTTGACAGTCTGGAATCATCATCTTGGACTCCTGTAGCACCTCCACCTGGAATTCAGAGAGAGCACAACACATGTTATTAATCAGCACCATCGTGTAGATGACGAAGATCGTCATCTACACCATTTATAAGCATATCAGTTGTGTGTGTTAGTTTTTCTTCAAGAGGTCCTCTAAGCAGAAGAACCACACGACAAAAAGGTTTAGAAACACTGCTTTAGAATGTAATGTATTAAAGGTTGAAAAACTAAGTGTTACAGCTTCAATAACATCATGTGGTTCCTGGCAATAGGCAATGTCTTGGTTTAGTATCCCACATATGCTGTGCTAAGGTTAACGTCCCACAACAAGCTCTCTGCCTGTGTGACATTTTTTATTGAGTTATTGATCGGGCAGGGAGTTGGGCAGCAGCAGGGGTCCTCGCCTCGCTCTGCCTCCGGCACACCTGGGTGAGTGGAGAAGACCAAAGCAGAGAAGTAGCAGCATGGTGATCAGGCATGGAGAGGTATTACTATGCCCAGGGCATGTAGCACTACGGTGATCAGGCATGGAGAGGTATTACTACGCCTGTGGGGAAGCTGAGTTCGAGCCAGAGGTTCAGGCAGAACTGAGTCTCTCTACAGGCAAAGCGAATGGGGAATTCCCCTGACTGGCATCCTAAAGAGCACAGAGGAGTCAGACACACCTCATTCATAACACACTGCTAAGAAACTCCAGTGGTGAGGTGGAGACACACAGGCAGTGACGCACACGGTGAGGTGGTAGAGTGGTCATGGTGGCCTCCCAGTACCAGTGCAGTGGAATGATCCCATCAGCAGCAGGATAAAGACTACACTTAAAGGCCTATTGATTCCTTTACAATGAAAACCTCTAATCCATCCATCCATCCTGCCCTCCAACCTGACCATCTCCTACTATAATCCATCTGCTCTCCCAGTCCCATGCCCACCACTAACCTACACCTGGTAAGTGTCCCAAATGGCACCCTATTGGCTATATATGACACCCTATTCACACAGGGCTCTGGTCAAAGTAGTGCACTATATAAGGAATAGATGCCATTTGGGACGCACCCCTAGACCTAAAGCTCCCTCAACATTCTGAAACGATCCCCATCAAATGAACAAACCTAACAATTGGTCGAACCAGAGAACTTGTAATTCTGCGGGGAAAACACAGATTGTTGAAAAAGCGGCATTTCATCTGCTTTGATTTCAGACATACACTAGCTATCTAATGTGCATACTACAAGAGTAGAACCAGTTGTCTATTGGGCATGAAATCATTGCAGATGATCCTTTCCACAAGGTGGAATCCCTAGAATATCTGAGATGAAAACAAAGGTTATGAAGTAGGGCACCTGGGACAGAAGTCACACTGGGTCTTTATCTTCCAATAGCCTCTCATTCCTCACTCATTCTACACTAAGCAGGGAAAATAAAGGAGGGAGAGAGAAAGAGAGGGAGGGAGCAGAGGAGGATATGGGCCAGCGATCTCCTAGCGGCTGTAAATTAACAGCATGTGTCAGTAATTATCAAACTCCTCCAAAGTTACATAACGTCATTAAATCTGAAAATGACTAAATCACTAACGGACCCCCCCCCCCCCACCCCAAGCCTAATTCTTCATAATGATACTACGCTGACCTCATTACAGTGAATGTAGGGCTACTGGTATCATCTGTTCTGTACTGTCCTATAATTATCTTTTACAATAAGCTTGTTAAAGCACATTAGAAAGCTATACATTTAGCCATGAAGGTGACAAATAAAATGTTCACGAAGAAAAATATAACAGATTATTTATAATTCCAATAAAACGTTCCTAAAAGCACACACCTCATTAGAGGACAAGATTATCTTTATGCATTACTTCATCAGGCCGACTCTTTCCTGTGTAGTAACCAAGTGGGTAGCAACATTGTATTAAAATCTTTTGTAATAACAAAACCAGTTCTAAACCATGAATGTGCTACACAAAGCAATTGCTAAATCATAATAAACTTAATACAACGTTGTTACTATAGTTATAACATCATTATTACACAACTTTAAAAGCAACTTAATGTAAAGTGTTAGTATATGTAGGCCTATGTGTGTAAAGTATGTTTTTACTTAATGTAGGCTATTTATTCTGCTGAGCTTTCACCCACCTGTTTCTTGATGACATACTTGGCATCTGAGTCGGCCTCTTCGTCACAGGCCTCTGCTTTCAGTCGTTCAATCTTCTCCTCCTGCAGCTTGGTCTCCTTGACGTACATAACCTTCTCCTTCACCAGCCTGGAGAGACAATAACAGACAAGAGCACAGCTTAGTTACAAACAACATACAAAAACAAATCAACATTGAGGCCTTCTATACTGAGCAAAAATATAAACGCAACATGCAACAATTTCAACAATTTTACAGAGTTACAGTTCATATAAGGAAATTAGTGAATTGAAATAAATTCATTAGGCCCTAATCTATTGATTTCACGGCTGGACAGGGTGGGCATAGGCCCACCCACTGGGGAGCCAGGCCCAGCCAATCAGAATGAGTTTTTCCCCCACAAAAGGGCTTTATTACAGACAGATAAACTCCTCAGTTTCATCAGCTGTCTGGATGGCTGGTCTCAGACGATCCCACACGTGAAGAAGCGGGATGTGGAGGTCCTGGGCTGGCGTGGTTACACGTGGTCTGTGGTTGTGAGGCCGGTTGGATGTACTGCCAAATTCTCTAAAACGACGTTGGAGGCAGCTTATGGTAGATAAGTTAACATTCAATTCTCTGGCAACAGCTCCGGTGGACATTCCTGCAGTCAGCATGTGAATTGCACGCTCCCTCAAAACTTGAGACATCTGTGGCATTGTGTTGTGTGACAAAACTGCACATTTTAGAGTGGCCTATTATTGTCCCCAGCACAAGATGCACATGTGTAATGATCATGCCGTTTAATCAGCTTCTTGATATGCCACACCTGTCAGGTGGATGGATTATCTTGGCAAAGGAGAAATGCTCACTAACAGGGATGTAAACAAATGTGTACAACATTTGAGAGAAATAAGCTATTTGTGCATATGGAACATTTAAGGGATCTTTTATTTCAGCCCATGAAACATGGGACCAACACTTTACATGTTGAGTTTATATTTTTGTTCATAGATTCATAGATTAGTCCCGTGTAGCTCAGTTGGTAGAGCATGGCGTTTGCAACGCCAGGGTTGTTGGTTCGTTTCCCACCGTGGACCAGTATGAAAAAAAAATGTATGTACTCACTAACTGTAAATCGCTCTGGATAAGAGCGTCTGCTAAATGACTAAAATGTCAATGTATATTAGTTTAAAAAAACACAGAAAAAAACACATGAAAACCCAAAGCTGTACAATCTCAGGCCCCAAAATGTCAAAGAGAAATGAGGATGAGTTGTCATTCAACTTACCACCAGGTAAAGTAATGGTAAACAAACAATAAAATAGGCCTAACCAATATGTCCCATTGTTTCCAGATGTGTACAGTGTGGGTATAATATAACGGTGATGTCTGCGTGTTGGTTATCTGTGGATCTACTACAGTACAGCGCCTTGCCTTCCTCCTCTGCCTGATCACCACGCTTATCTGACTCTGTCTCCATTTAACTGCCACTTCTAGCAGGACACACACTCTACTGGCCCTTTCTAGGATTAATTGATCATCAATTTAGTCCCTAATTTGGACCAAGTCATGTGGTAAATGGACCACTTTTCCTTGATTGTTAGTGAAAATGGGCTTGAGTACATTGATACATTTTGATTATTTATCAATTACGGGCCAAATGGAACTAAATCTATTAAATAAATTCAGACCCTGATTGGCATAATGGAGTTTGAAAATATCACTATTGATAATGATTCCTGACTAATAGTCTTTTTCCGGCTGCAGCTTTGCTTGTCGGGATGACGACGCGGAATTCATTTTTCATAAAATCAGCTGTGTGCGTTGGTTCGTGTGTGTGAGTGATCCTTCATTAATCAGGCACATTACCCAGAAACACCCTCTCCTCAGTGTTGCAGTGGCGCCTTGCTTAGCCGAGGAAGCCAACAGCACTCTGTCATATTTTATGTCAATTACCGCTCATTTTAATACGTTTCCATCAAGACGCTGTTTAAACGGGCAGCATATGCAACAACGAACAGCAGAGGAGCCCTCCACCTCTCCTCGGTTCCTCTGAGGTTATTTAGAGGGAAAGAAGGCAGCAACAAGAGAGAGGGGAAGAGAGGAAGGAGAGGAAAAAGGGATTGACATAATTTGAATAAAACTGAAGGAGAGTCTAATAACTAAATGTCCACCCCCACCCCGTCCGTCCTCCTCTTTCTCTCATCCAGTCCCGATGTTCATTTCTTATTTCTCTCTGGCTGGGTCTTGGAAACGCTGGCTGTGTGTGTGTGTGTGTGTGTGTGTGTGTGAATGAGGGGTGGGGTCGTGGCTGGTTTTAAATAGACCTGCCACCCTGGACTTAATGGAAAAGGCATCTCTCTGGAAAATAAGGAAAAAAAGGGAATTAGAGATCCGACACACATTCGGCCGCCTCCTCCTCCGGCAGCACTGCATTTTTGAGCACCGGCCTAGCCCTATGCCAAGGCCCGAATGACAAAGCCAAATTACTGTTGTCATTTTATTAAGGGCATCCGCCTCGCTAGGGCAGAGAGGAGGCACTGACTGGAATGTACAAAGCCACAAAGCCAATGGAACAGGCCTTACTGGGAGAGAGCCGACAGGGAGCTGCTAGGCTTTTAATAACATATGAGGAATGAGAGAGGGGGAGAAAGAGATAGTGAGAATGAAAGAGAGAGAGTGAGGGGGACATGAGAGAAAGAGGGAAAGAGAGACAGGATATAGTAGGGTACAGAATTACACGAGAAACAGACAGAAAGAGCGCAAAGGCAGTCTGTTCCATCTGACTTTGAACAGAGGCTGCAGGTTCCAATACCAAGGTCATGCTACAGGCGCTGAATGGGTAATGGACCTCTCCTTACTTAATATGCCTCAGTAAAATCTTCCATTCCTAGGACAGCCGATGATGAAGTCAACCTATTCTGAATGGGGCCGCATAGGAAGGAATGAGAATAGAGACGTTTTAGAATGTAAATGAAGCCATTCTAGAATGGAGATGTGTTTCAACCAACTTGATAAAGCACCACCTCTCAATACACCGGCGGGCCTACAGTTTTTCCACTGCATCAGACACCCTCTCTGTAACATCACCTTCTGAGGGAGAATTCTCAGCCGCCACCGCCATTACCCACACTCATCAGGGAGCCCGTTAGTATTGTGACCCTAATCAAAACACAAATCGATAGCACATTTACACAAAGGGCCACGGAGGGAGTGAACCAGGCGGTGATAAGAGAGGGTGAGCAAAAAATCCTCTCCATGCTTAGGCCTACTATTCTATTTATGGATTAGCTAGATTATATATGGATGATGTCCAGTGTTGTGATGGAATTTTTTGATGAATAGAAGCTACTGAATAGCTTTCAGGAGAACATGAATTAAAATATCACATTCTTGTTCTGTCCTTCCGATAAAAGATTAGGATGCATCAGAAATAAAAGGAGGCTGAAAATATTAGTATGATTAGTGAAATAGATCTAATCGTGACTACTTTTGTGTGTTCCATTTAATTTTTTTAACTAACAGATTATAGTCAGATGTTGGACTGTAGGGAGGGAATGCCCCGTCAGGGAAAACATCAGTAATTTGCAGCCAGGGCCTAACTGTGCAACTCTAAGCTAAAACTGATTGCCTTGTCAACAAAAAGAACCTGGCTCAGATGAGAATGAGCTTGCAGAAAATCAGCTGCAGTGCATCAAATGCCTGCATTTAGGCTTATGTTTACAATTGTACGGTCACTGACCATAAATAGGCCTTTAGCCTACATTCACATGAACACTTAGCTAGCAAAGCATGGTCTATATGGCTCTGACGAGTGCATTGCTTGCACCTTGGGCAGAGATGACAAGAGAAAACAATGCTAGTACTGTAGCATAGTAAGGCCATGTAGCGACTGCTTATTGCGCACCTGCCAAGAGAATGCAAAGTAGATTTTTAGTTTTTTTTATTCACAAGGCCTGAGCAAGATTTACATTGAAAATAATAGGATACATAAAAAAAATAAAAAAAAGTAGCACAACAGTACATATCAGGGGTTGTCATAACATCAGATTTGCATCCATAATGATTGTCGAGAAGAGAATGCAAAGTATGTTGCATGCTAGCTTGTATGCTAGCCACTTACCATTAGGCAACACTTACTAACAGGGATGACTTGCTAACATTAGCACACACGCACTTACTATAAATGGTTTAAACATTGTATAAAAATGCGAAAGTCACTCAACAACATAAAATGTATATTATTAAAATATGTTATGAAGTACAGGTTCTTATGTCCTTGCTACTGCCTTGTTTTAATTGACAATGCATGCACCTCCCTAAAGCACCGGTGTATAGTTAAATCTATAACGGCGAATTGTTCTCGACGCACAGTCTGACTTCTGTCTCGAGCCGTAGGTATCCGCGGCCTTGTGGGTGTAGCATGTTAGTCAGTTAACTAGCTAGCCTGCTATCTTTTAAGATGTTATGAATTAAAAACTGCACTTACCGCTTAACAACGCCAGTCTTGATTTTAATCTGTCGTATTCTTGGATCTGCCATGTTAACTGATATTCTTAAAAGACACAATAAGTTACTAGTTTACTGAAATACTGTGAAACGGTTGCTATCAAACACAGCACAACAATATCGCTCACGAGATCCTGGGCATGCGCACTGTGTGCCGCGGGAGAGAAGTAGGGCA